GGACTCTGTGCTCCCAGTGCAGGGGACCCGGGTTTGATACCTGATCAAGGAGCTAGATTCCACCTGCCACAGCTAAATATCCTGCATTTGGCAGCTGGGACCTGGCACAGCCAGAAAAATAAAAGGTCAAATAGGAGTTTTACTTCTACATGTCTTCTCCAGCATGTCTCCTAAGGATGTTATAGGAATGTTCTGCTCAGGTCTCCCTCCAGAAAAAAACTTACCATTTAGCTGGATCGACAGAAATAATCAACAAGCAATCTATAACAGAAATAGGAGAGTTTTATTTGAACCACACTGAGGATATAGCCCAGGAGACAGCCTCTTAGATAACTCTGAAGAACTACGACAGCCTCTTAGATAACTCTGAAGAACTACTCTGGAGAAACATGTTTTTCAGTACAGTTGTATATCTTGTCAGAACAAAGAACATCAAAGTAGTCAGTGGTACGTTTCTTAAATGTTAAAAAAAAACACAAAAACCAATCAGCACAGCAAGTCTGTAAGGCCTTGACACCTGGAAAGGGAGTTTTATCACTGAAGGAAAACCAGCGTGGGCATCCCAGGAAAGGAGGCATTTAATCTTTGTCTTCAACATGGACATTCTTCTCTTCCAGTCAGTCACCTTTTTCTTTAATAATTAAAGCAGATGTACAATATATGTTTGATAGGCTGCAAACAGAATATATTAGCATAAAATTCAAGTTAATGTGTGTGTAACTCAGAATGACTTCCCCATACCTCATTATGTAAGAATCTCTCATCAGCTGTAAAAAGTGCAGCTAGCCAACAAGCTCCATCTGTTGGTGCCTCAGACTCTGCTTCAGCCTTCAAACCAAGGCCACTCAGCCAGGGTAGACCTCGGTCTATGGCTTGGCATGGTGAAGATACTGGCCATTTCTGCCCTAAGTGGGGATCCTCATGGGCAAGCTTTGCTCTTGAGCTCCCCATTATGTTAGCCAAGACTGTCCTGCTGTCATAGTCTGAGGCACTCCCTCCCCAATTCATCTCTAAATTTTGTTCTGGCTACCTCTCAATCAGCCTTTTGCCCTCCTAACTCTGTTTTGGTGTCAGCTTCCCCCAGTACCCAACTGACACATCTTTAAGTAAAATGCTGGATGGTAGCATTTGTTTTTAGTGACATGCATATATAATATGTAGATGACTGAAGTCTACTACAGGGAAAAACTGTTAGTAACTATTTTAATTGACTTTGGATTGATAGAGTAGTGACTGGGCTTTTGAAAGCAAGCAAATGTTTCCATCATATAAAACCATGGATTTGAGAAATGTATCCTTAGCTTGAAAATGCTTTACATTAAAAAAATTTTTTTTTATAAGTGGCAATATTCAATGTACAAAACTTCATGGCATCATTACTTGATAATACTGATATTAGTGGCTATCATTTATTGAGTACTGACTCTATGGCAGGAAATGTGCTAAGCATTTTACATACATTATCCCATTTAGTTCTAAAGACTGATGTCTAAACAATATTAACTCATGAATTAGTTAATTGCTCTTAAGAGTTTCAGCTTTAGCCAGGAAGTACATTAGCACTAGATCTGGAAATTGCTATCCTGCCTATATAATGAATGTGTTTACTCAAATGTTAATGTACAATGGTGGATCTAGGGAACAGAAATGTTACAGAGTTTATTAGCTTAGTCCAGTAAAGTGCATACCATAAGGGTAATTATGAACTTTGTAACTACTTTATTTAGAGAAAGTACTATTTTCTCTAGGTGAAAAGAATCACATTTCCAACAAGTGACTTGGAAAATTATGATAAATCTGTGTTTGATTTATACCATTTCCATTCATGTATTTCTTTTGAAATCTGAGTCAATGGACATGAAATACATTTTTCTTACGTAGTGTACCGTCGGGCCACTCAGAATGGCTATTCTCTTGCTCTCTGTACATCCCTTGCTTTACCAGCGCCTGGTGAACATGATTTCCCCTCCCATCCTGCCACCTACCGATTATTCTAGAATGACTCCACCTGCTAGTTTATTAAAGGGATACATCTGCCCTCGGGATGGTTGTGAGGGTTGTTAATCTGAGGAGATTTTAGGGACATGCCCTAGATGGTGATTTCCCTGGTAACTGATGAGCCAACCTGACATCAATTCTGCCTGTAAATGATAGCTCCCTTACCCCCCACACCCACTAGTGAAGACACCATGTCCTGTCTGCCATCTACAGTGGGATGTTGCCCCAGGACCTTTTGCTTCAGAGGTGGGTGGAAGATCCCCTATCCAATAAACCATTGATGGCTCGGTTGCCATCTCTGGGCTCTTTCTTTGGTCTTGAGGCTGGGCAACTGCAAGGCTTGCAGGCCTTTGGGATGCAGCCCAATAGGGAGTATATCAAGAACAGGAAAAGTTGCCTGAGAGTGGGGTCAGCACTACCAGCTCCCAAGGTATGGACCCCTGACTATTTGGAATGAGGTTGGACTTAGTCAAATGCTTTTCCTATCATTGATTTTTCTTCTTTAGCCTGTTTATATGGTGGATTATGTTGATTTTTGTTTTTTTAATGTTGAACTATTCTTGCCTATGTGGAATAAATCCCACTTGGTAATGGTATATGCTTTTTTTTTTTAACAAATTGTTGGATTTGCTTTTCTAATGTTTTATTGAGGATTTTGCATCTAGCTTCTTTTTTGTTCCTTCATTGCTGCACATGGCCTTCTTCCAGCTGTGGCAAGCACAGGCTACACTCTAGTTGCCGAACACAGGCTTCTCATTACGGTGTCTTCTTTTATTGTTAAGCACAGGCTCTGGGGTGCTTGGGCTTCAGTATTTGTGGCACATGGGCATGGTTGCCTGCCTGTGGCATACAAGATCTTCCTGGACCAGTGGAACCTGTGTCCCCTGGTTCAACCACTGGACCACCAGGGAAGTTCCGCATCCAAGTTCTTGAGAGAAACTGGTGTAGATTGCTTTTTGTACTGTTTTTGTCTGGTTTTGGTATCAGAGTAATACTGGCTTTATAAAATGATTTGGAAAGTGCCCCCTTTCCTTCTATTTTCCGGAAGAGTATATAAAACATTAATTCATTTATGTCAAACATACATTAATCTCTTTAAACATTTGGTAGAATTTTCCTGTGGAACAATCTGGGCCTGGAGATTCTTTTTCTTGGCTTTCAGATTACAAATTTCATGTTTAAAGAATCATGTAGATTAATTCATGCTGGTTGAGTTTTGATATTTTGTGGTTTTTCTCTGGCTGTTTTTAAAGGAAAGACGAAAACATTAAACAATGAGAGTCACATATAGTATGCAGATTTTACTAGTAATTTGAGACATTTGCAGAGCGTGAAGTATCTTCTACTCAGGATTTAACTATTATGGAGTTGTTCATCATGAAGCTAAACCATTGCTAAGTGCAACATTGAGGGCCTTGTTTATTGGTTTTTCTTTCTTTCATCCCAAATTTCTGATTTTATTGGTTCTCTTTTCAGATTATTGAAAGTAAATGATTTAATTTTTATGCAACTCAAACCCCTAGGTCCTTTCATACATGGAGTCTAGAAAATAGAAGCATCTGCTGTTGAAATAATACTCCAGATTGTTGTTGTTTAGTCACTAAGTCATAAACCCCTGGACTGTAGCCCCCACCAGGCTCCTCTGTCCATGGGGCTTTGCAGGCAAGAATACTAAAGTGGGTTGCCATTTCCTTCTCCAGCGGATTTTCCGGGCCCAGGGATCGAACTCGTCTCCTGTGTCGGTAGGTGGATTCTTTACCACTGAGCCACCAGGGCAGCCCCAATACTCTAGCTACGTGTTTGTATTTTTACAGTTGTATTGGTCTCATACACAAATACAAATAGCAGGATAAACATGCCTTCCAATGATGATGAGCATTTAAGAAAATGCGTATATTCATTTTATAAACCCAGTATTCAAGAATGTTTCCTTTTTTACATCTCTGAATTGTTTGGGAGTATTTCTTCTGTGTGGTCTTGATTTATTGGGTGCATTGGCTAATGTATTGCTGGCAGCAGTAACACTATAAATTGCAGTAAATCAAATTAACTTCATTACAATGCTCCTGGTAAAAGTTAATCAGAGAAAAATGTAAATTTTATGTCCTTTATTGAAAAAGTCTTGGATTGTTTAATATGATACTTAATAGGGAAAAGGTCAGTTGTTTGAGTTGTTGACGAGTGGTAAAATTAGTCTTTTACTTTGTTTAATTAAAGATACTTGATCAAAGAATTGCAATCTTCCCCCTTCTGAGACAAATAGAAGCTTCAGTTTGAAGGTGTTGTTTTCACTTAAGAATCATTTTCTAAAAATTTTGAGTGTACTTATCATAGTATTAAACAGAACACTATTGTAACTTTGTTTTGAATTCAACTGCTGCTATCTGCTGATTGGAAATTAAAAGTGCATTTAGGGTGCTTTCAAAGGCACCCATTATTAACTTGACGAAACATAGGTCTGAGGCAAGAATATTTTCAGCTTTTATAATAACTCACAATAATCCATGATTTGGGACTTACATTCTTTTTTCATCATAGAAATTTAAAAGTATACACTTTAATGTGGTTTATGAAAATATCCAATTATCCATTGGATATCCAATATCCATGAGCCTCCAAACGTTCTAACAAAAAAGGAACCCAATCAACTGAGTGGCAGTTCAATGATACCGGGAAAGAGAAATTTAATTCCATGACCTAGGAAAGCCATTTGAGGAGGATGCTTTTCTTGTTGTTTTTTTAGGCCTAGTGCCTTTCATTAAGCCTGCTCTACAGCAGACACTCAAAAAATACATGTTCATTAAAGAGCAAATCATGTTCACCTGGTTTCCCTGGCGGCTCAGACTGAAAAATCTGCCTATATATGTGGGAGACACAGGTTTGATCCCTGGATTGGGAAGATCTCCTGGAGAAGGAAATGGTAACCCACTCTAGTATTCTTGCCTGGAGGATTCCATGGACAGAGGAGCCTGGAAAGCTACAACCCACGGGGTCTCAAAGAGTCCAACACCACAGAGCAATTAACATTTTCATATTCAAATAGCTTCTTATTTTTTCTCAAAAGGTCTAGGTGCCTCACACACAGATGAATTATATAATACAAAAGAATACTAATGACTTTAATCAAACAGAAGGAAATGGAACAAGCAAAGAAACAAATTCAAAATAAAAAAACAAGTTTGGAGGTGGTAAAACAGCCTTTGATAAACATATGGATTTGGTTTCACATGGACAGACTAAAAATACAGTGACTCATAAACACGCAACTACGTATTATGGAATTTTTGAATTGACCTTTTTGCCTTAGGTATCTTACCCTCTGGTGAGTCGAGGATTAGCTAGGCTACGATTAGTAAACCTAAGATAATTACTGAGATTTTTGCTTTACACTATAAAAACTACATACCATCTCATAGGACTTGGACAACTATGGTCTACTACTGAACATAGCTCCTTTTCAAAAATATTTTTTTCTAGATAATTGCCCAAGAAACATACTGGAGAGGACGTATACACTGGAAATGATACACCATCCTGTCCTGAACTGAAAGTTGCAGATTCCAAATGTCAGCTGCCAATTCTTATTCTCTTTCTGGGAGATCCCCTTCTTTCTGCTCCCCATCCCTCACCTGCTGCCTGCAAGGTCCTTAAAGTTGACTACTGCCCAACCTGCTCATTTAGCGCTGGCCCTGCTATGGCTAGATGTGGGATCAGCCTCTACTTGGAGTGTGGCCAACCTCACTCCAAGTGCCACACTCCTAGGTTCATCGTCATATGCTGCTGGGAAGAGCACTTCATTCCAGTAGTCAGAAAGAACACAGAGCCTGGCGCCGTGGGGCAGACTGTAGCCGCAGTGATGACACTGCCGAGGCAATGAGAGTTGGCTTGCCTCAGGCTAACACTGCATCTTATGTTTGTTTGAGGCAAACCCAGGAATGCCAAGACAACCAGGGGCATGTCTAAGCCATCATTCTTGACTGGGTCAAACTACATCTTGGAGAAAAGTATGAACAGCAGGGATTTGAGAAAGAACTATACACATAACTTACCCAATTATATTTTCACAATTGTTTGATTATATTTCCAAACACAAAAAAATTTTTTAAATGCACTTACTATGTTAGATTTTGAATTTAAAATGGACCCAAAATGTAAGCATATCAGTGTTAAGTCTTTGGCTGGTTTACAACGTTCCTCTTGGGGATAAAATATCCACAAACAAATCTAGACACAAACTGTTCTATAGGATTACCCTTGTATATTTTCAAACTTTTATGTAATTTACCACTGCAGAAAATGATTCTAGGATAAGCTCCCAGGAAAAATATCGCAAATCTTACTACAAAACTGACATGAGAAAGAAACCACCACTGCTTAATAGTGCAGGGCTTCCTTTAGGGTGATGAAAATGTTTTGGGACTAAAGAGAAGTGGTGTTTGTACAGTGTTTGGATGCCACTGAATTACTTTAAAATGGTTAGTTTTAGGTTATATGAATTTCACCTCAAGAAAAAAAAGTAAAAAGGACAACGACAAAGGGAAAGAGGAAAAAATCGCCACCATGTTCTGCCACCTGTGAGCACTAAAATCTAGAAACTTGACTTTCTTGCCACATGAACACCAATCCATTTCACAAACATGATCCTTGCAACCACGATGCCCTCTGAAGGGCAGACAGGCTTGCCGTGATTCACAGCGGCGTATGGGACATCGAGTAGAGCTTATTTCTTCACATTTCTTAGTGCAGGCTTTCTAATCGCTAACACACAGGTTACTGTCTGTCTTCTAGCAGCAAAGTAGACTTGAGGAAGCACGACCCATAATATGGAGATTTAGTAAACTATAGAAGGCCATTCAAGAGATGGTATGACTGTATGACTTACTACATCCTCCTTGCCATGTAGATATCATGGATACTGACTGAGAACTTAAGCCTAAGAGAGGAGATCTCAGCACCTTTTATCAGAAGACCAGGCAAAAGCTTGGTTTCATAACAACACCATTTCTTTGGGGGGGGGGGTCATTATACTACAGTCAGTATTATTTGGAGTATATATTCCATCACTTGTTAAATTGGCCTGAGTTCTTCCCAGCATCATTTCGCAGGAAGTATGCTTAACCATTGACCTATCTTAGAGGGGGCACCAGAGATGCCACCATGAAGTTATTCACAAAATTAAATGTTTTTATGTATTTTTAATGGAAATGTAGCTAATTCAAATATTAGATTAGTATTAGGCATACAGCAAAGTAATTTTTTGTATATATTTTCAGATTATTTTCCATTATAGGTTATTACAAGATATTGAAGAGTTCCCTATGCTATACAGGGTATATCCTTGTTGCTTATCTATTTTATGTGTAGTAGATCATATCTGTTAATCTCATACTCACAATTTATCCATACTTCCCTTTGCCCTTTGGTAATCATAAGTTTAGTTTCTAGTTTGTTTGGGTTTTGTATATAGATTTATCAGATTCATGTTGATGTATGGCAAAAATCACCACAATATTGTAAAGTAATTAGCCTCTAATTAAAATAAATTTTAAAAATTAAAAGGTATTATTTTTTAGATTCCACATGTGTTATAATATTTGTTTTTTTCTGACTTTCTTCCCTTAGTATGATAATCTCTAGGTTCATTCATGTTGCAGCAAATAGCATTACTTCATTCTTTCTTGTGGCTGAGTAATATTCCATTGCATGTATACCACATCTTAAACCACTCATCTGTTGATGGGTACTTGGGTTTTTTTAATATCTTGGATATTGTAAATAGTGCTGCTATGAACATTGGGGTGAATGTATCTTTTCAAATTAGAGAATTAGAGTTTTCTCTGGATATATGCCTGGGATTGGGATTGCTAGATAATATGGTAGCTCTATTTTTAGTTTTTAAGGAAACTCCATGCTGTTTTCCACAATGGTTGCACCGATTTACATTCCAACCAACAATGTACAAGGGTTCCTTTTCCCCATACCCTCTCCGGCATCTCATTATTTGTAGATTTTTTGATAGCCATTCAGGTCAGTGTTATGTGATGCATCATTGTGGTTTCGACTTCCATTTCTCTAATAATTAGTGATGTCAAGTGTCTTTTCATGTGCCTGTTGGCTATCTGTATGTCTTCTTTGGAGAAATATCTGTTTGGGTCTTCTGCTCATTTATGAATACATTGGGTTTTTTGATATTGAATCATTTGAGTTGTTTGGATATTAACCACTTGTTGGTTGCATCATTTGCAAGTATTCTCTCCCATTATATAGGTTGTCTTTTTGTTGATGGTTGCCTTTGGTGTCATATGGCCTCAGACACATAGCCAACATGATACTCAACAGAGAAAAGCTGAAAACCTGTCAGCTATAATATGGAGTGGGCTGGTGCTAAGGCCTGGCTGCTGTGGTTGGGAATGGAGGTGATTGTGCTGCCACTTGGGACTTAAGCTGCCTGCACACAGGCCTCTCCCAAGACCTGACCACCCCAGGTCTGGCTTCAAGTTACAGTGTGGGCTGGGTGGCACTGGAGAGCTCCCACTCACAGTGTGAAACAAGCCATATGTATTCCTCTCCAGGGACTGTCTGCCCAGAGATATGCATGGCACTGCCCTGTGTGTGGGCTGACAAAATCCCCCACCATGTGCCCTGACAGTGGGTTCCAATGCTGGACCTGTCCCCAGTGTGCATGTGCTGACACGGGGCTCTGAGGTTCAGCCTGAACCACACCCCAGGCCCTGCAGGCTGTCTCCACACACTTAGACAGAGTCCTATCCCAGGGCCTCTCTGCTGGAGATTTAACGTCTACCTGCTCTACATTCTAGTGGCCCTGCTGCACACACCTTTGGGACTGAGAAGGGTGGTGAGGTGGCAGCTGTCAGCACTGGTCTCTCTCCACTCTGATTGCTGGCAAGGCAACATGTACACACGCCTTGCAAGCAGAGTCCAGGCCACTCCAGCTTCTTTGACCCACAGACCTCGCAGCAGGCAAGGGGGCTCCCCAGGGCGAGAGCCTGCCCATGTGGACCTTCTCTGCTTCAAAGATCCCTTCCAGGGGTGCGGATCCCAACCTGATGCCTTTTATTTTTTTGGTCCTATCCAGTTACACGAAAATCTTTTTTCAGCTTTGGTTGTGCAAGTGGTCTTTTGCCAGTTTTCAACTGGTTTTATGAAAGAATTGTTCTACATGGAGCTGTATTTTTGATGTGTTTATGGGGGTAGGTGAGCTATAGGTCCTCCCACTGCACCATCTTGATGTTCCCTCCCCTAAGTGGCTTTATATCTATAATAATATAGAATTTTATGCTCACACAGAGTATAATCTGGCTCACAGGCTTTGGGCTGAAATCTTGAACCTCTTACACTTGCTTAATAATGTCATCTCCTGTCTGTCATTTTGGAGATGAGTGGCAGAGGGTATCAGAGATGAGTGCCCCAGATGATGCTTGGATAAAGACATAATCAATATAAACCTCCATTCTCAGTTAAAGCAGAACTAGAAAAGTAATCTGATCACACCAAATTGTGGTACAAGACAAGAAAATTCAAACAGCCCTGGGGTGAGACAGCAAAATGATACTGTTGATCCCTCCCAAGTGAAGTAAACAACTGGTAGTCTAGGAAGAGAGGGCTAGAAAGAAAGGCATGGGCAAGTTCATGGCAGCCCAACAGTAGATTGGACATGCTGCCGTTTACTCAATTATGAACCACATCAAGGACCAAGTCAACACAACAATAATGAAACTATCTTATTCTGCTATGTATGTCTAGTCCTCAGTAAAACCCCAGAAAGCATGATTTGTTTTGAGGGGATATACTTGAGATTTGAAGGGTGAAATGTATGAGCAAGGAACAACTGGAAAGAAAAATATTTTTAAAGGATATAGTTCCAAAAATTAAATGTTTAATTCTAATGAAATATGTTCAGAATCTGTATGCTGAAAACTACAAAGCACTGAAAAGAACCAAAATCAATCTAAATAAATTGAGATAAAAAAAGCTGAGATGTATTATGTTCATAGACTGAAAGTACCAGTATTGTTAAGATGTAAATTTTCCCCATATTGATCTACAAATTTAACACATCACAACCAAAATCTCAGTATCAATTTTCCAGATACTGATTTTAATATCTTTTCCCATTAACAGTGACAAGGGCATCAGTTTTTTAACCAAATTATAAACAAAATCTCCTTTACTATACCCTTAGCAGTTAATGACTTACAGGATAGTCATGTATTTGATTATGCTGTCATTGCAATCATCTGCTGCATTACTGCAAAACACTAATGCAGTGCTCCAGTCACAGATATGAGGTATTATTAGCTGACCTTGATGTGTCATTCCAGGACACACATCCTGGAGACTGAACCACGATCTAGGTTCACCAGAGAAACTATCACTTGGACTTTGCTTAAGGGGCCATCCCAAGTTCTCTTTGCCCCATCATTGCTGAAAAGCGCCACAGCTTTAAGGATTGGGTCCATGCTTACCACCACCAGAAGACAATGGGATGTTAGTGGAGTTGCTATTATTTCCTGTTATCTCCCACGACCCTCCTATGAAATGGATATGAAGATAAACATTACACATGAGTATCACTTCCTTGTATTAACTGGGACTTTCATTACTTACATGTTCCACTGGGTAAGATCCTTAAAACTGAGATTTCACTAAAAATAAGTTAACAAATAGAAATAGGGCTTCAAGTTCATGGGTATACCCCACTAAGTACTCCAGATATCAGGAATGGATCACTCCTAGTCCTTCTTAACACTTTAAGAATCAAATTACTAGCTATATCTGACTCCCTACTCATATTTCAACCAGTTTAACTTCTTCAGTTGGTCCTTTCCAATGCTGAGCAGTTTATCCCACAGGCTTTAAAATTATTGCTATTCAAAGTGTGGTCTGCAGATCAGCAGCATCAGTATTACCTAGAAGCTCGTTAGAAATGTAGAATCTCAGACTTCATTGCAGAGCTGCTGAATGAGAATCTGTTTTACCAAGATTTCCAGGTGATTCACGTGTCCATTAAAGTTTGACGGGCATTGCTTACAAGGACTTAGCTCTACCTTCCCATTGGCTGGCTAAGTCCTTGTGAAGACATATTGGGACCCAGTAACAATAATCAAGGTCAGCTGTGCACCACAGAAAATGAACTATCACCAGACAATCTAATGATTGTTCCTACTGGTTATTTTGTTGGTCACTGAGGGTCTCTTTTGAGATGAAAGGGAACTTTTTCTCCAGAATTTAATTTGCCACTCCATAGCTAGAGAGGGTTGGCTTTATCAGATTCATTGATGAGCTCTAATAGTTTCCGGGTAGCAACTTTAGAATTTTCTATGTACACCATCATGTCATCTATGAAAATTGACAGTTTTACTTCTTTTCCACTTTGGAGTCTCTTTCTTTCTTTTCCTGATTGCTGTGGCTACGACTTCCAAAACTAGGTTGAATAAAAGTGGCAACAGTGGACCTTCTTGTCTTGTTCCTGATCTCAGAGGCTATGCTTTTAGCTTTGCACCACTGAGAATGATGTTAGCCGTGGGTTTTTCATATATGTTCTATATCATGTTGAGGTATGCTCCCTCAATGTCCATGTTCTGGACTTTTATCATAGATAGGTGTTGAATTGGGGGAAATTTTCCTGCATCTACTGAGATGATCATATGGTTTTAGTTCTTCCAGTTTGTTGATGTGGTGTATCATACTGATTCATTTGCAGGTATTGAAGAATTCTTGCACACTTGGGATAAAGCCCACTTGATCATGGTGTATGACCCTTTTAATACATTGTTGGCTTTTATTGGCTAGTATTTTTATTATTTTTGTGTCTATGTTCACTGGTGATATTGGCCTGAAATTTTTTGTGGCATGGGAATTTTATAGTTTTGAAGCACTGACAATATTCTATGTGACAACTGTAGCACATTGTCTTCATTTGTCTTGACTCATACACTGGCAGAAAATAACTGAGTGAATGTAACATTCAAATGGAAGCTCTCTGGTTGACCTTACTGGGATGAACATTGTATAGTTTTGCTTAAAAACCTCCTAACCAAGTAAAAGATAGCTGCCACTATTCCTCAGTATAAATAACAGCTTTTCCAAGACAAGAAAAGACAAGTTTTGCAGCAAAAACTGGCAATCTTGCCCCAGGATGAAGGGACTTAGACACACATTCCAAACACCACTAAAATGGAACCTCCGTTCTGAACATAATATAGTTGGACTAATAATGATGTTGGCACCAGTGAGGAAAAGTGTTAATAGTAATAATAATGATGATAATATATTGTTTACTATTTGATAAGCACATACATATATGAATACAAACTAAATCTCATGTTATACAATTTTCAAAAACTGGCATTCTTGTCTCTTACCGTTAGAAGCCTATGGTTAATGACTGCTGAAGCAATGTGCAGAGTGTGTGGTATGATATGCCAAATTCTCTCCAAATGTGTAGCAGAACAAAAGGTGCAGTAGTGTAAGAATGCCAGGACCAAGCAAACCAGTACTGTGTTCTTTTTTGATATATATAAAGTCCTTCACACCACATTTTTTCAAGTGCACTGGGTTTAACTATAAGAAAATTCATTTGGGGGGCCAGAAATTAATCATATACAGTATGCTGAAAAAAAGTTTCTTCAAGAAAAGCTGTTGGCAAACCAGCATAACACAACCCTCATTACTCATCTGTTGAAACTTCACAGTTACGGCACAGAAACTGAAGGTACAAGTTGAAGTTGTTGGACTTGTTTTTTGGCTTCCTGTCTGATTGGCTGCTCACAAGGCCACAAACGGCCCATTACACTAGTAGTCTTTCCCCTGGTCTTTACTTACACAGTCCTATTATGGAACTTGTTGGTTTCAACAATGAAGGGAAGATTGATGGTCATATCCCATCAATCAGGAATGGGACAGGGACCTATCTTGGATTAAAGGAGTTTAATTCTGACTTCTGGTACAGAGGGCAATGCTGGTTAAATTAAGCCTTTTCCTATACACTTATGCTGTGAAGTTATTAAAAGTGTACACTCACTTAACCTCTTAAAAAATCACATGGTGGAAAATGTTTGTTTACGTAGTCAGTCAGTCGTCTGTAGATGTGTGGATAATGGAAATCTAGCATAACTCAAACCATACAAGCTCTACCACTTGCTCTTGCCATCAGAATACACACGTCGGAAATCTCAGTTCAAAACACTTCCTCTACCAAGTGTAGTGAAGGGCAGTATGAGCCAGCTACCTGCGACTTCTTGTATATTTACAAACTGCTGACTCTTGATGATGAAAGAGACCTTTATTTTTAAAACAAGTATATTTTTAAAAACCTAAATTGGGTCACTTTATTTTCAGGTTAAGAGTTGATCCATGTTTTCAATTTATTGCCATACACAAATCATTTTATAAAAAATAATAGGGTAGACTGCCACTTCAACATCTTCATGTAAAAACTTCACAGTGCAAAAAAGTGATTACTAAAAAAGTATGAAGACATCTAAAGCCAGCTGATATTTTAATTATAGGGCAGGATATTTTTTTGTGATTCTTTCTAAAAAATGTTGGCACACTCATTAAATGCCCAGGTTACAAAAAATCACTTGGTATCACTTCTTACCCTTCAGTATATTTTTAAAATCTACATAGCATCATACTAAATGCTGGTGGGAAACAGAGTGTAAGACTCTAAAAAACTTCTCAGGTAGCACAGTAATTTAAAACCAACTAGGAGAAAGCATCCCCCTCCCCAAATACTTTTGTATGTGATTTTCTGTCCCTTAACCACAGTAACAAAGTAAAAAATCATTATACCTTAAAAAGAAGCTTAAAAGGGAAAGATTTCACTTCTCCTTTGAAAACACCACTTCTTACCTCTTAAAGAGAGAAATTTTCACTTTGTGTGTGTTGGGGGGGGTTGTTTCATAAAAATATCAAGTTTATGTCAGTTGTACAAATGTTTCATTTAGGAAAGAAAGGGAATGCTTTGATTCAGATGATTTAAAAATATTTCATCACTACAAGAAAAGTGTAATCTTAAGCTAAAAAATTGTAACACATTGAACTAATACAAATCATCCACTGGCATATCCTATTGTTTCTCATAAAACGCATAATTAAGGAGTAATAGGTCAAAGATCTTTTCCCAATGTTTGGTCACATTAGCTAATCAGCCCTGGGCAAACCCCACACACCTGGAGCCTCAAGGTCCTCCTCTCTTACCTGAGGATCCCAGGCTAACAGCCCTTTAACATCCCTTCCTATTTACAGATTTGTGTAGAATTGTTAAGCTTACATAATCTTTTTGAGAATGAGATGTTTCAACTTGTATTTTCCAGATAAATTTCCCCATTTAAGTATTGTAGCTGTTCTTTTAACATTTAAAATCTTACTTTAAAATTTATTCTCAATGTATTTCCCTGTCACCTTGAAAGATGAGGGAAGACTAACAACTTAAGTCTGGCAGCATCCTGGTCTCCTAGGCTAGGTAGCTGACGGTGATCAGCAGATATTGCTTGAGACCTGACTCCATCAGGGCAGCTCTGGGCCATACTCTGAGTCTCAAAACGAAGATGATACCACCTGTTTGCTATTTCTTAAGCCCAACAGAGTTATCATTATATACCAGATACACCAAAAATTTGTATACTACAAATTACCATATGAATGCAAATGATTTTTGTGATAAGCCCAAGGTGACTTTCTTTCCTGATGAAGTAACAGATATCCTGATAAAGTATAGATAGGTAAGTTTTATAACAAGTTTTTCATCAATACTTGTGCATTTATGGTTTTAATCCTTTGGTTCCTTGACTCTTCTCCTGTTGTCAACCTGTCTCCTAATTCTAATTATGCTTCTAATTGCAACATTTTGTGTCTCTTAGAGTCCAGAAGTCTGACCTTTCCATAGAAGAAAACCAAACCTAAAGATCTGTTGCTTTAGCAAATGTGGTATCATCATTACTCACTTTAAAAGTGTGATTTTCTAACTAGGCAAGGCATCAGACTCATCTAGGAAGTGTTGTAAAAATTGAGATTTCTGGGCTATGGCTACAGAGTCTGATTCTGTATGTCTAGAGTAGGACCCAGAAAAACCTTCTCAAAAGCTCCCCTAGGTAATCTCAACAATCATTAGTATAGTTTATAGGACTCAATGTTCTGCCCTCAATTTCTTAAATTCAATTTAGAATTTTAGCAGCTGGTCATTTTTAGTACAAAAATTTCCCACTGCATTAATCATAAGCACATTCAAAGTAGACTGCCCATGATCTTGGCTTAACTCCATAGGAAACTAGTCATTACAGTCCTTTGCAATAAAATTAAAAAATGATGAATTAACTTCAGAGTGAAGACAATGCATGTAGATGCTGAAAGGTGGCTGGTTCTACACTTACAGGGTGCCTGTTTGTTGCCTTAATCATAGTCTGAGGATCATTCTAATTGCATCTGTCGTTACTAAATAAAATCTGGCAGAACTCCTCTAAAACAGAAAAATGGCTAACCGGCTACTCCGTATTAAGGAACTGCTTCTAGTAGACATAAAGTATTTTTTAAAAAACAACCACACAAGCTTCCTGTAGAAATGCACTTTCATGCTTCTGAAGTCTACCATAAAAGAGAGTTGACCAAAACTACTGTTGCTTAAAAATATGTTCAATTAACTGTGAAAATATAGGTGTAAAATAGGTACAACTTCGTCCTTTACGAGATTCAACAAGTGTAAATGAAATTAATCTGCCACCTACTCTACCTATCCAAACAGTTAACTGTGAACACGACACATGAAGTATTTGGTATAACGTAGTTCTGATACCACCCCTTCCAAATTTAATAAAAAGCCACATCCGGATTTCTCCAGGGGTCCCAAGTGTGTCTAGGCACTGCGGAATGTCGTCATGTCTTTTGGTTCTCGGCTGGGGACACACCAGTCGTCAGCCTCCTGGTTGGTGTTGTAATGCTTCCAGGCAGCTTTGTTATACACCGGGAGTCTTTCTACTGATTCTGTTGACAGAGCCTGAGAGGAAAAGCAGGAGCTGAGTCAGGCACTTTTTGGGGAATCCATTATTTGAGAAAAATCTACAATGGCAAAAATTTTACTACAAATTAAACCATACTCTATATTGGATTTGTATTTTATCTATCATAAAACCATCTACATACAGTTTAAAATACAGCACACATTTGAAACGTGCTACTTACTAAAAGCTTATGGCAACTGCTTAGAGCGCATGTTGAGTTTATTGCATGCAGTGATTCTCTCACCAGCCTAAAAGTTGCTGGTTTGGAGTTTTACAAAAGTGTGAGAGACATTCTTATAAAATTTGATCAACAGAAGTTCGTTTTCAACAGAAGTTGAAAACGTCAGTTAAGTGTAAAAGCGTAAAAATTCAAATAGGTACCTTAATATATGTAATGTAAAAGCATTTAATGAAATCTGGGTTTGAGCCTGTGTCTTTTCCTACCATTAAAGTCACCAATTTTAGTTACAGCATATGTGATTTCCACATCATACATAGCTGACCCTCAGTATCACTGCCCACCCCACATGGATACCAAAAGCTGCCGATGCTCAAGTCCCTTATATAAAAATTGCTGCAGTATCTGCATATCATCTACACACATCCTCCTGCACCCTTTAAATCATCTCAAGATTAACTAGAGTAGCTAATACAATGTGAATGCTATACAAATACAAGAAATATTATGTAAATAGTTGCTGATGTGCAAGGAAATCAAGTTTTGCTTTTTGCAATGTTCTGGTATTTTTTTCTTCAAATATTTTTGATTCATGCTTGGATCTATACAGAACTTGGGGATAAAGAGGGCAGACTGTATTTTCATATTTTCAACATTATCACCATTAAGTCACTGTTCTATTTCAGGTTCCTGTGTATCACTGAGATAAACTACGTTCCTCATTATCTTCAAATTAGGGTAAGTTGTTAAGATTTCAACTTTAAGCAAAAAGTATTCCCTAAGATGTAGAAAATATTAAACTAGAAGTTTCATTCCAATAATGGTAAGGAAGGACCTTAGTTTTAATTATTCTGTAAGACCTCCTGTATTCTATTTTTTTCCAAAATGGAGCTAAAAATCTTTCACCTATACTTATATTTTTTTATGTCAGAACTGCCACAACTCCTTGATCTATAACAAAAACAAACAAAAACATTGTATTTGATGATAAAAAGGGAAACATGAAGGCAATATTTTTAAGTTCCTCACAATTGAGATGGTTAAGAAGGAAAACTATTATCTTCAAAGAACTTATTTTCAGACAAATCTACTTTTTCTAAAGTAAAGTCTTCAGCATTCCCTATCAAATAGGTGCCATCTAGTGGCCAGAATAAGAGTAACTAGAGCCACTAAAAACGGAGGTACCTACCACCAGTCCGCTGCTGAACTAACCCAGCACACTGCTGGGGCTGAGGGCTTTCTACCCCTGTAATATTCGCTGGTGTGTCAGATAAACACATCCCAGGTGAGTCTGCTTTCCCCAGGTGAGCTGTACGCCTACCAAGGATCACCTGTAATTGTTCCTAAATTTGTAACATACTTAAATCTGTCACTGTTACTTAATCTAAGTACTGCTTTTAACCAAGCACACAAAAATGCAGGGGTGGCTTGGAGGGAAGGTTCTCTGAAAACTGAGATGACGTTTCATAAAGACTCAGGAAGGCAAGTTCTATAAAAACTGCTCTCAAAAAAAGAGAAGACAACTGTAAGGAACTGCATAAAAATCAGTTAATGATTATGCACTTGGCTGTTTCTTTCATTAAAGAAACCAAAACAATGTATTGTAGGTATAGCTTCTGTAAGAAAGACAATTAAAACTTTAATCTGAAGACCCATATGCAAATGAAAGGCCTTAGCAAATATATCAAAGACTGGTCAATCAATGTCCATTCAAGCATCTTAAATTACAAGTTTAATTTTAACATAACTTTTGACTGCCCACTTTAACCCAATTTTTCTTCTACTAACAATCATGGTACTGATCACTATGGGTAAGAGCATTTCTTTCCCACAAAGAGATCATTTGTCAAAACAGATGAGAGCTTTGTTAAAAAAAAAAGAAACAAAACACATATGTTTGCATTTTAATAGCATGAGGTAGAAGAAAGTCTCATTACAGTTAAATACTGGTATCTTACAATCAAAAAGTCCAGAAGTGACATTAAGTCCAGAAGACTATGGTCTTTACCTTAATGTAAATGACTGCATCTGTCCCATAGCCCTCTAGGGAATAGAGCTTTAGGTCTCCTTGGAAATACTGTGCATAAAGGCGTGATATGGGCAATCCATAACCAAAACCAGCCTGTTTGAGAAAAATGAAATTTTATTCAGAAAGCCACACACTGAAATACTTTTCTAGTTAAAATAAATGCTACTGGAGTATCCCAGGGCTATTAAGAGCCTGCATCTAAAAGATCTGTTAATAATTAAGTAGTAAAAGTGATCAAGCTGCAGCCTAGTTGAGCACTGTATTAGACGGCTTCCCTCTGGTCATTTGAAATTTCTCTTTTTCCTGTAGAACCACCTGTGGGGGTCTAGAAAAAGGATGCTTCTCTCTTCTTTACTGGCCTGCTCCAGAGTATCCCTATACTACTTTCGGCGATATAATTTAAAACATGTTCTCTCTTTCAGGAGCAAGAGTAGAAAAATACCTGGTGGCAACCTAACAGACACATCTCATGACTTCATACCATGAATTGCAGCCTGAGTTCTGAACCTGGAGAGATCCCTAATAGGTCTCCTCTCTTAATACTCACTGACAGGTCATCTCCCCCACTTAAAAATCTTCAAAGCACCCCAACACCCACCGACCCTCACCATCTCCAACCCATTGCCTTGAGATAAAAATCCAAGCTTCTAAAAGAGAGCTTTCAAGATTTAACAAAATCAGGTCTGTGCCTCCCACTTTCCAGTCCAGCTGAAGTAAACCTCCTGCTCCTAAGTTCCTCAAGCACATCATGTTATTTTTCACAGCTGTGTCTTTGCTCATTTTGTTCCCAGTATCTGGAATGGCTTTTACCTGGATAAATCCTATCAATTCTTTAATATGAAGCAGAACATTTGGATAAGTGTTAAAAAAAAAAAAAAAGGTTTCTTTATCACCAACTCAGGTGTTTAATGACATTTCATATAATAGTTTAGTGAAGAGTGTATGTGATTCCAGAATCGGTGCTATTAACGAATCCAGGCTATGGCCTTATCTACCGCCACCATTTTTTACTTGACTTCTTAAACCAGAGTTTCTGTTGCCCCTCCAAATAAACTATCCATTCTCCACATTTCTCCTTGTCCTGGGAGGCTGACCTGAATTGATGTGGGTGGGTTTCTGTGCCCTCCGCTTCTGTGTCTAGCCGATGGGGAACCCAGCAGGAGTTTGGAGGGAGCCATCCAGGGTCATCACCCCCTTCTCCTGGGCGGCCTAGGCCCTGGGGAGTAAGCAGCTGACTCTAACACTCCCTCCTGGGTTCTGCTGACTTCTCCCCGAGTCAGGTGGCGACAGCTCTGCTGCTGCTAGCCTGGATTCCTGTACTATCCCATCCCTCTTCCTGTAATTTGTCTCTTTATAGATAAGCCTTCCATGAATTATCATAATTTGAACTATCTCTTTCCAAGTGAGACTCTGACTGATACATTAGCTGGTTCCATTTCTGCATGAGCAGGTGGCTCAGGATCCCGCAGTACCTGATCTACTTCATCACTGCCTCTCCCTCAACCACACACCTGCAGACCCCTCAGGCTTCCCTGTTAGTAGTTGGAAGAAACTAAGTTTTGTCTAACTAACGCTAACTAACACTGTGGGCTTGGCCCACTGCTGGGTCTGCACAGCGTCCCGCACCAGCCAAAAGCGGACTGCCCTGTCACTGCAGCCTCTCTCAGGGCCAGGCCCGAAAGACAGCAGTGAAAGCAGATCCTACCAGTGGGTGGAACTTGGAGAGGAACACCTACATGGACCACGGGCAGCAGCAACTGGGCTGGCTGGTCAGAGACTTGGAAAGAACAAAACTGGATAACTGACGAAGAAGAGGGAAACGTGGATGGTCCTTTTTGAATGGGCTTATGGCATGAAGACATTCTGTCCATGCAGATGTGCACCTGAAGGCACCCACGTGAAGACAGCTCTCAGTAATCAGTGTGACCTGATGGCTGCCCCAGTGCTTGCTTACTGGTCCACTTACAAAGGGGTCATGAGAGCAGGAAGGAGGCTCTGTAAAAGCTCAACAGCAGGCTTACCCTCGGGAAGGCTGCGGAGGTGTGTGGGCAGCCTGTGTCATGTCAATCCTCCTGTTTTTCCTAAAAATTCACATAAATCTTGCATCCTAAACAACAACACTTACACAGCATCTACTATGTACCAGGTACTATTAAATAATGTGTTTACATATATTAACTTCATCTTCACAATAATTCAATCTTTAAGGCTGGGGAAATTGTGGTACTGAAGGGTCAATGATATTCCCAAGGCTGAACGGCTAGGATGTGGTGGGGCTGAGGATGGAGCAAACAGTTTAAGTTTAGAGTCTGGACGAGGACACTCTGCTGCTCTCCACAAAAACTCTACAAAATCTGTTTACTGCAAAAGGAGCATATCCCTCTTCTCCACTTCTTAGAGTAAAACCAGAATCTAAGAAGATACTCATGTTTATTTCACCTTTTCTGTTCCTGGGCACATGGATGCCTACCAATATCTCAACTAAAGCAATCACTTAAAAGGTTTGGTAAGACATCTGTGCTGGTTAACTAGAATGTGCTGCACAGTTTTAATGAAGTCCTTTCAGTGACTTCCTAGGAAAGAGTCTAAATAAACGCATCTTAGACTGTTTTTTTCATCATATTACAAAATAACTCCAGTGTATATGCCAGAGAACCTTCAAAGCTTGGAACAACAAGAGTTTTGGGTGAGAGATTTGGCAAACCACTTTTCTGAGGGCTGGAGGACCAGGACTGAGTCCATTCAAAAGCTAATCTCACTAATCTGAAAAGAGGTGACTGACTTTTTTTTTTTAAAGCCATCAACACAATTGTTATTTGAGCCATAGGTGATTAAATTGGTTAGAACTCTAGTATTACTTCTGGGCCTCAAATATGTAGTCTTTCTAATTACAAGTACTTGAGGGAAAAAAAAATACTAAAGATTGAATCAGTGTTGACCAAATACTAGTAAAGCTGGTAATTTAGACTTCACATTAGTAACAGTATATCAAAATGTGGTTTACCACATGGACACTACTGACACACCACTATCAAGCTTGGCAGTAAGATCTCTAAAACCCTTATCATTTAAAAAAAACCATCTCAAAAACTATAAATTTAGGGGAAAGTGTTGTTGCTGTTTTTCTCTAATAGCTTCCTTTCATCCTGTCTGTGAACCCTACACGATGGCTTAACTGATTTATATGGTAACCTCTGTTCTGGCAAGTCACAAAAACCCACTTCACGACTTTGTGGTCACACACCAGGGGCACCGCTCGGGACGTCTCCATGCGAGGCCGGGGCGCAGTGGAGTACATGTAGTTAAAGAGTCGGTCAATCTTCCTCAGAGGAACACCACCTCCTCGGTCACTCATCTAGGAAGAGAAAGGATCATGCCCTGTGACCAAGTCCAAGAAACAGCAAAATACCCATGCATGCGATGTCACCATTTAACTGTGGCTGACTGAGCCCTGCTTTTCAAAATGAATACCAGGCGATTCAAGTTACAAACATAAACATTTCCCCCACTGCGGACTTAATCCCTCTGATACACAGAATTTTAAGATATAAAGAACTCCACTGTGATACAAATTTTCAATGCTGTTGTTTAGTGGCTAAATCATGTTTGACTCTTTTGCAACCCCATAGACTGTAGCTTGCCAGGCTCCCCTGTCCATGGGCTTCTCTAGGTAAGAATATTGGAGTGGCTCGCAATTTCCTTCTCAAGGGGATCTTCCCAGCCCAGGGATTGAACCTGCATCTCTCAAAAGAGATGGTTCGCATGCTCTACCACCAAGACACCTGGGAAGCCTGCTTTCAATGCTGTGGTTTTGTGTAATTACTGCAGTCACACTAAAGATGCAGCACACAATGGGGAACGGGTTTAGCTTATCTTGGATAACAACAAATTTGTAATTCCTCTCTGACAGGCAGTTTGGCAACCCGATTAAACACGCATGTACCCTTTGACCCAACAATGTTTATCTTAAGAAAATTATGAGAAAAGCATGCAAAATATGTATGAGAATATCCATTACAGCACTGTGTAGAACAGCTAAAACTGGATTACCACCTAAACAGGGGGCTATTTAAGTAAACTAATATACATTCTAAAATAGAATACTATCTTGCCATTAAATATTACATAGAACTATATGTATTGGCATGGGATGTTCATAAAATATTGTTAAGTAGCAAAAAGATGAAGAAGCATTTATAACATTCTAATTCCATAAAAATTACAGAAGTCTATGATGAAATACAATTTTATTTCAATGGAATTATAAGTGATTTTCTTCTTTGGGGGCTTTAGTTTCTTAATTTTTTCCCACAATTACTTCTATTATTGTAAAAAAGTATAATTTTCATTTTCAGGGAGGAAAAAATAGAACCATTTCATTGTGTTTTAAGAGTCTCATCAATTTCACAGCATAGTCTCCCAGACAACTTTCTGGTGAGTTATAAAGGACACAGTTCTTTGTGTTGTTCTTATGTCCTTTTCCAACTCAAATCATATGCTATACTGAATTTGGTAATTTATTTACAGATTGTCTTCATTATGTCAATTATGTTCAATTAACATGGTACATATTTTCCTAGCTTGTCTTGAGAGTCTCTTGGACTGCAAGATCAAGCCAATCGATCAAGCCAATAACCCCTAAAGGAAATCAACCCCGAATATTCATTGGAAGGACTGATGCTGAAGCTCCAATACTTTGGCCACCTGAGGTGAAGAGTCAACTCAGAAAAAGATATGGGTGCTTGGAAAGACTGAGGGCAGGAGAAGGGGGAGGCAGATGATGAGATGGTTGGATGGCATCACCAACTCAATGGACATGAACTTGAGCAAACTCCAGGAGACAGTGGAAGATAGAGGAGCCTGGAGTGCTCCAGTCCATGGGATCACAAAGTGTTGGACACGACTTTGCAACCGAACAGCAACAACACATTGTATAGCTTTGTCTTCTAATCTACTATAGCTATTTTCTCTTGTCACAAAATCTAAATTGATTCTACTATCTATAATATTAACATGGTTGTGATTTTCAAACAAACCTGCTTTTAACGTATTGATATATAGATAAAAATCATACTGAATTATCTGAAATAAAAAGTCAATTTGAATGGCTTGTGGTGTTAGTTGCTCAGTAACAGCATATAGTTGAGTTTTGGGGTTTTTTTTTTTTTGAGTTTTTATAGTCTCAAAAAACTTTCAGTTCAGCTCAGTCACTCACTCAGTCATGCTCAACTTTTTGCGACCCCATTGACTGCAGCACACCAGGCTTCCCTGTCCATCACCAACTCCCGGAGCTTGCTCAAACTCATGTCAGTTGAGTCAAAAAACTGTGTGTGTGTACACACATATATTACTCTCACAGTGGAAATTCACAGATATTTTAATTTTTAAAATAAAAATCTGCTTTGAAATGCCATTTGAAGACTTGCCTCTGATATGTCTATAATTAGATAATTACAGTATAAAAATATACAAGAACATTATTAGGAACTTGTATGTAGCATTATGCTTGAAATTGTTCTTGGCTATGAATTCGAAGCCCTGTGAAGAGATTTATTTTAGTAAGATGAATAAAGGGCTCTGGGAATTTTCTGAAATGTATCAATTTAATTATTCATCCTTCAATTTAATGCTCTGCTACATATTTACTGGTAACATGAATCAGAAGCATGGTTCTACAAATATTAAGTAAGTAAAAAACAAATTAGAATAGATACTAAGATAAGAAGGTACAGTTCAACAAGTATTTTGTGATTTTCCTTAACCTTCTGGCCAGAAACAGTACAGCAATCCAGCAGATATGACACAAGAAGTGATTTCTAGCCATGAGACAGCAGGATAAAAGCAGAGTGGAACAGAAAGGCCAGAGGTGAGTTTGAAAAGTGCCATCTCATTAGAAGTAAAGGGTCATCTAAGCCATAGGAGCATAGTTAAAAACTGATAAAGGTACTGCTTTTGCTCTGTAGCCAAAAACGTAACAATACATTGCAACCAAAGCGGGGACCAGTTTTAAAGTGGTCAAAAGCGTTTCCACGAAACTTGTTAACAGATATTATACCAGAGAACATGAGTTCTTTGGGGGAAAGGGAAGGAGGGAATAATGGAGAGACAGACATTTGGTCTGTGTATCTTCAAGACAAGAACAGCACTCTGATGACAAATATACTGTGAAAGAGATGTGGAAAATTAAAAAATCTCTGAAGACTATTTGAAGAAAAATTTGAGAAGCATAGAAACACAAGACTATGTCAAGGGAAAGGAAACAGAATGTGAAAGTGGAGGGTGGTGTGGAGTCATGTCAACAGGAAGGCGCAGGAAGAGAAGTTTGCCAATTACTTTTAAAGTTTTCTCCCCGGTGCATGAAACCACCACTTCTCAATGTCACGCAACCAAGACCTGCCATCCCCAATGTCCTGGTTCTCATAACGCTAGGCTCCCTGGCCAACATATGTGGATTTTCAGGTCCAAGGAAACGAACCATTACTAACTTGATGACAGTTCTGAAGGCAGGGAATTTACTAACCTTGAACTCACCCATAGCTCCCGAAGATTCTTATACAACAGTTTTTTCAAGGTCAGGTGTATAAAAAAAAAATTGCCAACAGTGAATGAATCAAGATGTGTAAGTTTTAATTTATCAGATATGTGGCTATAATACTTATGTCACTTACTGCAATTGGACCAAACACCAAGTCTGAAAGAGCAGTTAGACTTGTAAGTTAAAAAAAAATAATTCTAACTTAGCAGAGGGATAACAAGTTAGAAATGTCAATAATTTGAACAGCGAAAAGAGTGGGGGAAAAAATTCCAGATCTTGATCCTGAAAGTCTAGAGTAAGGGATGGGGTTCAAAGCTCTATGTAAAGAGCTAACAAGGGTAGATGCAGTCATGCGACCTGGATTTGAAGAAGCAGAGCCTAATACAGCTAAGACCTTTTACAAACACTTCTGGAACAGTCTGTTCAAGACCCTTATGAGCTTTGCTATTTTAAAACAGCTTGATGAAAATATAATTCACATACCATACTATCCATCCATTTAAAGTGTACAACTCAGGGGCTTCCCTGGTGGACCAGTGGCTAAGACTCTATACTCCCAAGGCAGGGGGTCTGGGTTCAATCCCTGGCCAGGAAACTAGATCCCACATGCCGCAGCTACAGTTTGCACGCCATGTGCTGCAATTAAGACCCAGCACAGCCAAATAAATAAAAATAAATATAAAAAAATAAACAATGAAATTTTCAAAAAAGTGTACAACTCCATGGCTTTTTAACAAACAGGCATACCTCTGAGATATTGCAAGTTCAGTTCCAGACACCACAAAAAAGCAAATATTGCTATAAACCAATTCACTTGAATTTTTTGGTTTCCCAGTGCCTATAAAAGTTATGTTTACATTTATACTGTAGTCTATGAAGTGTGCAAAAGCATTAGGTCTAAAAAATGTACATATCCATTAATTTAAAAATAAAAAACAAAAGACCAATTAGAATAATATCAAAGATCATTGATCACTATAACAAACATGATAATGAGAAAGTTCGAAATATTGCAAGAATCGCCAAAATGTGACACAGAGAAATGAAGCGAGCAAATGCTGTTGGTTAAAATGATGCTGACAGACTTAGTCAATGCAGGGTTGCCACAAACCTTCCATTTGTAAAAAATGCAGTATCTGCAAAGTGCAATTAAGTAAAACAAGGCAAGGTATGCCTACATTCATAGGTACGTGCAACCATTTCCCCAGTCAATTTCAGAATATTTTCATTACCTCAAAAAGAAACCCTGGACTCCTAATTGATTACACTCCTAAGTAACCACTAATGTATTTCTTGTCCTTAATATATTTATCTGTTCTGGACATTTCATTTAAATGAAATCATATATAATGTGTGGCCTTTTGTGTTTAGTTTTTTTTTTACTTGACATATTTTTAATGTTGTAGCATTCATGTTGTAGCATGCACCAATACCTCACTGTTTTTATGGGCAAATAATATTCCACTATATACCACATTTTTGTTTATTTATTATTCAGCTGATGAACATCTGGGTTGTTTTTAGCTCTTGGCTGTTGTGAATAATGTTACTATGAACACTCATTGCTTAAATACCTGTTTTCAAGCTTTGGGGGTATATATCTCAGAGTGTAACTGCTGGGTTATCATGAACATTTCTTTACACCAAACAGGCAGACTCCCTTAGCAAAGCCTGTCAACCAGCACAGAACAAGTCTCTGGAGCTCAGTGAATACTGATCCATGCAGTGATGGATGACCACAAGTAATGGAATGCAACTGCAGACCAGCATGCTCAAGCACATAAAACAAGAGCAGGAAAGGGTATGAGAAAGACCCTGCT